TACTCGGGGCAGAATATATATTCAGCGCAGAGAAGGTGTCTGGGCTATTGGCATGGTCCAAAAGGCCAGCCCACCCAGTGAGGTACAAGGGGGCTACTTCAAAGTACAAAAGTGGCGCCTCACCAGTACCGAGGGATAAACCACTATCGTGTTACAGTACCATTTAAGTGCCCACTGCCATCGGCATTGGAGTATGTTTAACCACAGACATCCCCATCCTGACCCTAAGTGTTTTTTTTAAGGCTACAATCGCCCTTTTAACCCAGCCTGTGCAGCCTTCGACACCCGTTAGTGCAACATGATCAGGGGACGAACAACAGTAACCCCAAAGGGCTCCGAAAAAAATGGATTCTTGTGAGATCAGAGCCTACTACTTGGGAAAATTTAATTTTCTACCAAATTTTAAGTAATTTAAAAATTTAAAGTTGTTAACAAAGGAACAGTGTACTCAGATATCAACAATACAATCAAAAATGCAACACATCACAAAGCCTTGCAGCAAATGTTTTGCAAAATTTATTGAAAAGCATTGAAAATAAGACAGTTCTCCCTGTTTCCGAGCCAAAGAATTGCATCTTAATTAAAAATGAACAATGAACTTATTTCGAGGGGGGGGGGGCATAAGCTTAGGATGTTTACACCTTCCGGAAACAGTTCCAAAAAGTGCTTGATGTAGTAGGTCTTGCTTGAATGTTTACTCTTCAAGGGTGTGAAACTAGACTTGTCGTCGAAATGAACTTCTATTTTGCATTCAAGCGCGGAAGAATGATGCGAGCCACAGTAATAAAGCTACCGGCCCATATTACTCCAAAGTTTGAACACCAACAAACAAAAAACGGGGCAATGAAGACCAACTGAGGGGAAAAATGACAATTCTACCGCCAAATTGGTATTCATTACAGTTTCAAGAGCGTTTGCCTGTTTGCCATTCTGAAAAAACATCGAAGTTTCAGTCAAAAAATTTGCGCATTTGATAACGTATTTGTACAAAGGTAGTTTTTAGAATGTCATATTTAAAAGTCCATTTGCTGGCATATTGAAATGTCACACACTCGAGAGTTGAGTAATATCAAGTGCGTTAATACCTATTTAGTACTAACAAACAACTTTATGTACTTCATAATTTATAATTTGGCTTCATGGTTTAGCAAAATTGGAATTGATCACTCTACTAAACGATGCGTGCAATTCACAAGGTATCCATTGGTACGGATGGAGTGAGGAATAAGGGGATATCGTCAAATGAGATATGGCTTTTAATGAATGCAAATATGAACAGTAAACGGGAAAAATTAACACAAATGCTAGCGAAAAACTCACGCTCAACTTTTCTGCTAAGTTGCGGTTGGCCTTTAGTTTATTGAGGCTCTCGGTGAGAGATGATTGGACAAACATCAGTGCACCGTAGGCTTCGATCAGCCGGTAAAGCATATTTTCCGTTAACTGAAGAAAAATGACCAAGACTGAAAGGTTTCCAAATATTTGATGGCCTCTCAAATACTTACAGAACTATGTCGCAAGGCTAGTTGGATTTAGAATTCCGTTCTGGGAAGATTGCGACAAATTCGCAAAATAAATGCCACAATATTATATTTCACTTAAAAAGAAACCACGATTAAATGTGGACGGATTTTTGTGCAGTGCAATAGAGATAATTCATATCGCCGCAAATTATTGTCACAATCGTTTGCAAACTCGTAATGCTTCCATTATTCAAATGAGGAACTCCACCCAGATTAAAAACCATGCGAAAAACGAACCATATCCAACTTTCGGCAAGTGCATCTGAGAGCCACATG